ATAACAACACTGTAAGAGAAAGTGCAATGTGTATCTTGGTTCTGACTTTTAATGAAAACGACGACATCTTAAGAGAAAGTATTCTGGTTCATAGAGACCAAATCGGACACTAAGCTGCACCAACATGACAGGAAACAATATGAAAAGAAACACAAAGTCATGTTAGCATCCATGCCTCACACAAGAGGTTTATGGAAACAGAAAGCTTATTGGACATCTTCAAGATGTGATGGATGCAAAACAATGGATCCTGCGTGGAATTGTTTTGATTTTTTAATTAAAACTTTATTTGTTTTACTTTTGTTACCCTTGTAGAGTTATCATCCTTTTTGCAATTTTTATGAATTTTTAAAATGATAATTATAACTTATTGACACCCAGTATATGCATATATATTATGCAAGAGCAAATTTCTTAAAGTAAATTGCAGAGATGCCGTCAACACCACTTGCCTTCTGTGGATCAAGTTTGGAGATGATAGAAAAACATATGGAAGTATATATATGCATATCTCAGTATAGATTCCGTTCTAAGGGGGAAATCAGGATGAGATACTCCTGATGAGTCGATAGTAGACTTGGAGGAGAATTTTCAGGTAACCCATTCTGCTTTATCAATAGTTGATGGCAGTACGTCAAACTGGTTGAAGCGAAGAGGGATTTACAGACTTTTACGGTGCCGTTAGTATTATCTAGAACAAAAGAGGCTATACGGAGTCTCATTCTATCAGCGTTGAGAAAGCGCTTACACTCATTACTAACGGATACAAAGAGAAGTCTGTTATGTTCTGAACTTTCATGTTGGTATGTGTGTGCGTGGGTGCTATGTTTGCTGATCTCTCGTCAGAATTTCGTAGATTTTGAAATCCACTCATCCAATACGTTTGGCTCTTGATCCGGTTTTCAGAAACTCTGAGAGGAGAGAAGTAAACATTTTAATTATCATTTTGTATGCTACAAATCTCGATATTGAGCATTGTAATTACAAGGGTTACTTGCTTAAATAGTTGAATAATTTCTTCGTAAATAATCATGAGTTTTGATGTCGTTCTTTAGGCCAGCAGTGGATTTGTTATGCATGAAGCAAACAGCTGAAATTGGCGATATTTAGTGGATGAAATTAACTTACATGATCCTCATGGACATGTATGTAACTTTTCGTAGGACTAGATTTACAGATTTTGCCACACATGGAACGCATTGTCTTAGAGGAAGGCCATTATTTTGAAATATATCTCAACTACTGAAAATATTTAAAGAACGTGATATTATACTAGAATATGCACATAAAAATAAATTGTCCTTCTAATTGATTGTAGATTTTTTACTAATTTTGGCGAAACATGTTTTTGCATCGCTCCTGCTCACAACGCCCTTAGCATCCGGCAGTTTCTAGTCGAGAAGATATCGCCGTAAAGGGACAACTTCCCTATTCGTCTGATCCTGCTCCGTGTGACGTTTTTCGTTTCTCCAAGCTCAATGGGATCATCAAAGGAACAAATTTTGAAAGGGGCCATCAACAGGGCCGTAAAGGCGGAGCTGGGGGCCATCCAACAAGGATCCTTCTTGTAATGCATGGAAGCGTGGGAAAACAGGATGTAGAAGTGCATTAGACTGAAGTGGAATTACTTTGAAGGAGAAACCATGTAGTCTGTGTTTTGGAATCAAAATAAAATGTTTTTGACTCCAGTCATGTTACTTTTCACATAGATCTCGTACATTATTATTATTATTATTATTATTATTATTATTATTATTATTAAATTTGATATAATAACAATCAGTACCTATCGAAGATTGACTCAGTTTTTCATAATTTTTTAACTCATTCATCGAAGAATTACGAAACTCGATAAATATTGAAGGGTCTTATAAATATATTTTTTTTTTAAAATAATAATCTCTCTCGTCTCATACGGATAGCTTTATTGACAGAACAGCGGTTAGATGACATAGCAAAAATACTTCACATGAAAGGACGTTTAAGAAAGTCATGATCGACTACGTAATGAAGAAAAACAGTACCTGGAAGAAGACTGAACGAAAAAAAGAGCTAGTTTTAATATACTAACAAATAAGGAAATAGCAGAAGTGTCTATATACTACTACTTCAGTATCACTGAGTTTCAATGCAGCCATGTGTGTGTTTGTGTGTGGTTGCGTGTGTGTGTGTGTGTGTGTGTGTGTGTGTGTGTGTGTGTGTGTGTTTTCCCCCCGTGTAGATGAGGTTATCCACGGGATTTATAAATACAATTTTGTTTTATTAATTTTTGGCAATAAAAATACATGAAAACAATGTTTCTCAATTAGACAATGTTCATTAAAATATTTGAACAAGCTGAAATATTTGAACAATATTCAAGCTGAACAATTTTTTATTGTGAAATTTATAAACAAATCGATGTTGCTACCCACTGTTTATATATTTTACTATAATATATATATATATATATATATATATATATATATATATATATATATATCTGTATATGTATATCTGTGTGTGTGTATTAAAAATGTTCACCGCAAGGAAGTGGCACTAGCACGCCAGGTGTTACAGAAGGTGGGGGCAAGATTAAAGAGGCGTGAAAAAGGAAATGATGAAGAGAAGATCGGGGACTTGATCATGGCATCTGGAGATGTCGATTGACATTGCATTTGAATAGTTGGAGGTTATAGCTATCTGGGAAGCAAGTTAGCGGAAGGGAGTTCCACAGACGGGAAGTGCAAGACATGAAGCTACTGGAGTAGAAGAGACGGCTACATTTAACTGTTTCGACCTTGAAAGTGTGGGACTGAGATGCCGAACAATTGACACGTTTAAATTCATTCATTTTGGGAACTAGTAAAAATATCTCGTCGGAGCAGTGAAATTATTTATTGAAAAGAGGGAGGCGTCAGCAAGTCTGTGAGAGAGCGACTGTAAACGAAATGCCAGATCATGGCTAACCACATTGCATATCCTTCTCTGTATTTTGTCAAGGACCCTAAGACAAACAGCGTGGGCCTCAGACCATATATATATCTATCAGCAATATACCATGTAAGGGCGAGTGATTGATTTATAGATTTGAAGGATGGACTCGGGCGAGAAAAACTTTCCTTGCTTCGATTCAATGTAATTGTTCCATCTCAGGTCACCGGACAGTGTGAGACCAAGCAGTCGCAAAGAGGTGCTCTTGTGGTGTTGAGCATCATTCTAATCGAAGGCAGGGCGGGTTCTCTGTGGTGGTTAATAGAGAGAAGTTTTATTTTTGAGGCATTAAAGTTAACTAGCCATTTCCTGTCACAGTCAACAACCGATTGGGGGTCCTTTTCGCGATCAACGGCCAGGTTAGTTTTATCAGCGATACCAGATTTGCTATTTAGGCAGAAGTAAATAGTGGTGTCCTCTGCATAGGTGCCTACTTGAGAACTGATGACATCGGAAAGACCTTTAATGAAGATACGGAACAATGTAAGACCCAGGATAGAGCCTTGGGGAACACCTGCGTTCGTGAGAAAGTAACTGGAGGTGAAAACCTTAAGGGCAACGTTCTTTAAACGGTTTGACAGAAATGGTTGTATTAAGTCAAATAATCGATCTGAAATACTGTATCCCTGAAGCTTGCGAAGGAGACCGGCATGCCAAATCCTATCAAACGCTTCAGAGATATCTAGAGCCACGGTAGGAGCTTTTCCGTTATTGCGAATTACTTGGTAAACAAATTCAGTTATGGCAGTGAGCACATCAACTGTAGATTGGGCAAAGCGGAAACCATATTACTTGCCAGAGAGTTGATAATGGGATGTAAGGGGCGTAACCACTCCCGGTTTGATTAAATCTTTGCCGAAGAGTGGTAGGTGACTGATATGACGGTAGTTGTCCGAATGTAAAAGAAAGAAGAACAAAATTTCAACGTTCAAAACATTAATTTAAAACAGGGCTCAACACAAAATTAACGCAATGAATATTTTTTTATGGGCCGTTACATCCGAATATGTAAATAGTCACGACAAAATTGTTAATTTTTTTTTTTCATTTATGTGCCATTATAGTTTGCCGCCTGAAGAAACTTTGATTTAACGTTGAAAAAATGTACAATATTGTAGTGGATATTTACATGTTCTAAAAAACAGTACATAATATATATATATATATATATATATATATATATATATATATATATATATATATATATATAAAGAAATATAGCCTTAAGGTGTGCTATATTTATGGAATAAAGTGCTCAATATCAGAGATAGAGAGTGTAAAATATAAAAGTGAACATAGAAGTCAACACTTAGAGGCGACAGTCTGTTTCATGCTATATGCAATCGGCAGGCCACATATGCTGTTATTTTTCTCGGCTATTTATATATATACGGGTTAGTGGTGCATTGTGGGTATTCTATTATGGCGGTTATTTTACTGGAAGTCGTTTGTTTATTTATTTGGGTCAAATTATATTGCTCGTTTTTATTTCTTATTTTATATATTTATTTATTTATTAACGTAGTAAAAATTTGTTTATATCACTTATTTAACAGTTTTGTTTTGCTTTGAGAATTTAATTATATATATATATATATATATATATATATATATATATATATATATATTAGCGCTCCTATTGTTTATACAGTGAGTGATTGATTGACTTTATTTTTCTACGACTTATGACCTTTTGCTGTTTTTTTTATAGTCAGAAAATATTTTTAGCTTGTAAGAAGTTTTATTTTTAATAATGATAATTTAGTGATACAAGTCTTAATAATTAATAGATAATTGGTAAGAAAGAGGTGGATTCATACCTTTGCTTATAAGTGAATTTAAGGAACACAAATGTAATTGGAACTCGTTTCTCTGATTTCTAATTCTGAGACTTTATCCATTGCGCCACCAGCACATCCAAGCTTACAACACCTGATATTTCCCAACGGTCACCCATCTAGGCACTGGACAAAATCGACGATTAACAATTATGCGCCATTATCCAGTACAGAAATCACATATACAAGCTTACAACACCTGATATTCCCAAGCGGTCACCCACCTAAGTACTGACTAGGTTTGATGTTGTTTAACTTCAGTAATCTTACAGGAATCGGTGTTTCAACGTGATGTGACTGTCAGGCCTACATATACAGAGAGAACAATGGCATCCTTTAAGAGAGCAGTTCATGGTAGAGTAAATAATTTTTTGAAATTATCAAGATTGTTATCATACTAGGGATAGGTTACTAAGACATTGTTTATATTGGAACTTTCTCCCCACCAAAACGCTCTTTAATCATCGCATTTCAATGACCAAAGATATAATATATACTTAGAGTTACGTTAGGAATTACATGTAAAAAAATGTCTAATTTGCGTAAACAATACAAAAGCATCTTCAAACGGCAAATTACAAGAGCGTGAAAACGATAACATCAACTGATGAAAATATGACTTCTAAAGAATTACTTAAATATGTTCATTTGTTATTTATTTATATTAACACTGCTCTTTCGTTTTATCGCTATCTCGATGATTTATAATTTCAGCTAATTGATATAGCTAATCTGTTTATTTCATCTTTCATATTTCTACATCATGTTCTTTTTCGAGACTGCTGTAATTGTGCTTAAAATTTAAACAGTGCATATCGTGTTCTGCTTAGTTACGTGTTGATTTTCTATTTAAGAAATGTGTTTTAAATGCTCCGTTGTTATCGAAGTTTAGGAAACGAATTAGGGCGAAACGATTTGTTATTCAGTAGAAAAAGAATAGTCATTTTTGTTAAAGGCCATAAATTCATATCTTTAGATTAAATATTAGCATATCTATACAGATGTATAATTATGTTCTAGACATTTACCATCTTTTAGTTAACGATTGGGAGATGACTTTTCGCAGTCAAGTTAATTGGTTAAGTGACTTTCGTTTATTGTCCTCTTCGTTGCTTACATGTCACGCTTGATGTTATATTAAATAGGGATTTATGAAATTTATATTATTATTAGCCACCTAATTTTTGTCTGTCATATTTTATTAGCTGTTATCGCTCGGATCGTTTAGAATTCTAACACAATTGAGTAAGCTATTTTTTAACAATTTTTACGTCAGCAGACAGAATCCAAATTCCATCATGAATACTTCCTCACCAGTTTTTATGTCATAGAAATTTTCTAAATTAGGAGACGCGAGTTCAAATCACTTCTATGGATACTTCTTTATTTTCGTGTCCATGATACTCACGTAACAGACATAGAGTAGAAACTGGCCTGAACATTGAGTTAAAAGCAGTAAAAAGGAAACTAATACTTAACAAGGGCAATTTCTCGAATAAGAGTAGAGTTTGTTTCCCTTCTTTGCTGTTTAGGATGGGGATTTCTCTACCTTCTAAAGTTTTCTCAGATCATTTCACGACCATTACCCATTGCCTCTTAGATGTACTATCGCCTTGCTTGGAGTGAACTGATCAAAACAAAACAAAAAAGAATCAGTTGAATTTTTTAATACTAATTATTACAAATATTTTACTAAATAGAAGGAACAAATTTTTAAAAGACGCCTGCTCTCCGTAAAATTTATTTTTTCCTCCAGCCACGGTGAATGGTTTTACTCACAATGAGACTATTTTCCTGGACCATATACTGGGACTCAACTGGAATTAGTATATAAGATCTATTGGTGGGAAAATAGTCGGTTTCTTGTATCGCTCCAGGAAATATCTGACTCCTCCTACCATGTCAAATCTCGTTATTTAAAAGACCAAAAATTGTGTATCACTTCCTCATCTGTGCTGAAGCTATGCCAATTCTTAATTTCCAGCCAGAATTTCGACAGAATTCGAAATCGTTTGCGCGACCCTTTAAGTGATGTAATGTTTTCCACTCCCAAAAAGGAAACGTTGCAAGCCTCTCATTGTCGTATCGATTTTCCCATGGCAGATTTCAAGCAAACTGGATTTCTTAGTTCCACCAATCCAGACCTTCCTATCTAGGACAAACCTGGTCACGAGCATTGAGCTGACGCATCATCATTCCCTTTATATTCATTGGTGAGTAGGAAATTCCAGTTTCGCATCTTCTTCCCCATATCTGTTGCATTGAATAATAGACTTACGAGAAGATGCTTCTCCGATCTCTACATGTTTATGGTCAACCTTTATCTTGTCTTATACGAGGGTCATACAATAAATAAGGTGAATTTTTCGGCATAAGGACTTCTAATACAGACAGAAGCTTACTTGTTTTTAATTATTTTTTGTTTTACTTCTTTTTCACATGAATTTAATTTCTTTTGCAGATTAAAAAAACTTTTCGAATTTTGGCGATTAACAAAGATGGCCGACCAAGATTGAAGGATTGAACAGCGGTCAGTTATCAAGTTTTTGGTTGTCGAAGGGTGCAAACAAGTTGAAATTCATAGGAGAATGTCAACCGTGTATGGTGACACATGTTTTAGCCAAAAAAAAATGTTTACAAGTGGGCTAAATTGTTTAAAGAAGGACGGAGCAGTGTTGAGTATAAAGACAGGCCTGGGAGGCCTACAGAAGTGAGGTCTCCTGAGGTGATCGAATCAGTCAATGACCTCATTTAGTCTGACAGAAGAACTACTGTGAACTGCTGAGGCAGGTCAAGAAAGACATAAAGAACAAACGCATGGGTCATCAGTCAGAAGGAGTCATTTTGCATCATGAAAACGCAAGGCCTCACACAGCAGCCCAAACGGTGCAGACCATCAACGAGCTGGGCTGGGAACTGCTCCCTCACCCCCCTTACAACCCAGACCTTTTCAGACTTTCACCTGTTTGGTCTCTTGAAAGCGTTCACCAGAGGCACGAAGTTTAAAAGTGACGATGAAGTCAAAAGTGTTGTGGGCGACTGGCTGAGACATCAGTCCAAAGATTTTTACGCTGGGGGAATACGGAAGCTTGTGCACAGATGGGAAAAGTGTGTGACAGTGCTGGGAGACTACGTTTGAAAAAAAAAGTAAGCTTCTATCTGTATTAGAAGTCTTTATACCGAAAAATTCACCTTATTTATCGAATGACTCTCGTATATAATATGCGATTCTTGCTCCCTCTGTGCAAGGTCCTCATTACAAAAATCTCATTTAGAAATCATCTAAAAATTAGGAGCTCATGCCCACTGTATTACGTGAAAAATCGTAACAAGAAACAGCTAAACACGTTTGTTAATATTTGGTTTTACCCGCAGTTCATTCAACTAAACTGCTTCGAGAAGCGCATTCGGTTTCATAGAATAAAATGTGTAAAATTTCAGAGAGATTATATCTGTAAAAGGAATATGAATAAGATAAAAGGAAATTTTATCTTAGCCGAGGCGTATCCTCCTTTGAGCAAAATGCAAGAATTTTATTTTGTAGCAATATTTTTTATTTACAAGAGTAAAAATGTTATTGATTTTTCAACATGTTTAAATTCATGAACGCTCATGAATATTCTCAATGCCAACCGAAATATAGAGGCAAGCTATGGATGACGCCAAATGACACAATTCACTAACGAATAGACGGAAGACATTAAATGATATTCTGGAATTGTTAATTGAAGAGCCGTGTTCCAATTTCACTTCAGTTCATTATATTCGCTAACGTACACATATCATTGTAAAAGGTATGAATGCACCTCTTCTCCCCCAACTATGGGTTAATTTGTAAGACTTGTATCACTAAATTATTATTTGATCAAAATTTTTACATTCTAAAAATATTTTATTGCTTTAATTAATCTTCAAGTGGTTGATAAACTGTAGAAAATGAATCAATAAATCAATTAATCAATGAGCGACATGACGGATAACAACCCCTAGTGAGCAAAAAGTAAAAGCCTTCAATTAAATCCTCAAATAGCAAGTAGTGATTTTCAAATTCCAGCATTATATATTTAAAATTAATACTTCTAAATTTTGGTAAATATTTTAAAGAATAATAAGCAGTACGAGGAATGAAAAGAAAATCAATTTTGTGAATTCTAATATAGCTCGGTTCCTCAATGGTATTCCAGACTTGATTACAATTTGAATTAGAGGTAAGATTAACGAACCAATGAAATCTGATAGAATCTCCATCATTGAAAACTGATGAAACCTCAACTAATATTATTCTAAGCAATTATATATATATATATATATATATATATATATATATAATTGAGTTATGAAGAACTTGGTAATCCGTATGGGTAATCCCAAGGAGGATGAAACCCTGAGAGCTCAATGTAAATCCAGAGCTAATATTTAAAAGAAAAACAGACCATTTAAGGTACCATTATAATAATTTATTTCACCAGAGTCCTTTTAAAGGACGCCAGATCATCAGATAGCACTTCCAAAAATGAAATGAAACGAAAAACGAAAAAATTTTTTTTTATATATATATATATATATATATATATATATATATATATATATTAATTATTTATTTTAAAATATGATTCCAACACTCTACATAAGAGGTCTCATATATATATATATATATATATATATATATATATATATATATATATATATATATATATATATATATATATATATATATATATATATATATACTTAAGGACACTTAGCACAGTGGATAAAAGCGTTGGCTAGATCAATTGACCAATGTGTGTGAGGTCAATACCTGGTTAAGGCTGTGAGAACTTGGAAAGGTGAATTAACAGGAGATAACTGATAACTGGCATTCATTAGACATGGTACGTGGAACGAGAACAGTCTACCCCAGCGAGCGAAATAAAGGGTTCAGTTCCACATTCCAACCACCTGAAGAAGGCCGGAGCGTACAACGGCCGAAACGTTATGATAAATTTGGCAACAAATATGAGGACAATAGTCCGAATAATGTAAATAATGTAGAAGAATAATTTTCGGATCTATTGTATTCAAATTTGCAATTACCTTCTCTTGGTTGAAATCCATTTGCGGCATGCGCCTTCCAAATTTACCTTCTAATAAATGGTAACGGTTTTATTTGGATATTATTTGTAATGGTTATATTTATTATATATTTTTGGTATGCCATCAACTTTCAGGGCATCTGTAATCGTCGCTCTTCAAAGTTATCTTTTATTTATGCTCTATGAATTGCTATAACTTGCTAAGGAAAATGAATTCGTTTTGTT